AAGAAATAATATTTTATAAGAAAATATATCAGAAGTTTAATTTTAAGGCCCTGGATGTTTTGATTAAATAATATGCTTAATTGAGGGGACTTTTCTAAAATATATATTTATGTTTACTCGATATTACAAAGTTTCCTAACGTATAACTTCATTAGAATGAGATTTATGAATTAATCATGAATTGGAGTTAGTAGTAAAGGGAATTTGCATATGTAACTCTTAGGGTTATACGAGTAAAAGAGATAATAATTGTGATATTTTGTCCAAAGCTTATCTATACGCATATTATTAGAAATCCTGTTCTTTTTCTGATAGTAACATGTAGGAGCATGAGTTCTTTAGGAGAGAAACGCCGGAGAGAGAGAGAGAGAGAGAGAGAGGAATCGCAACAGGAGGAAACGAACAACGACTCTTGCGAGGTTTCTCCACTTAGATACTTAATTTTTAGGGATTTATCTCTTTGTTATATCTCTGTTTGTCTTCCGTTAGACCTATTAAAACCCCTAGCTAGATTTCATGCTAAAACAAGTAGAGTTCTTTATAGATGATTCTTTAATGTTTTAGAATAATAAGATCTAATAGGGTTTACCAAAATCAATCGTTAGATTTGAATATATGTACATGTTTGTTTGTTGGAAAATTTGCAATGAGAAAATAAAAGAATTGAATGTTTTATTCCCTCTAACTGATTTAGAGAAAGAATGTTTACAACTCTTTATTCCCTCTAACTGATTTAGAGAAAGAATGTTTACAACTCTCTCAACCTCGAATACAATTTGAATTTTCTGATTACAAAAGAGAATTTAGAGAAAGAATGTTTACAACTCTCTCAACCTCGAATACAATTTGAATTTTCTGATTACAAAAGAGAAGAAGATCGATGGAGATTCTCCCTTTTGTTTAAGTATGGGTTCTTCACGGTGGCGATGAAGTGCCTCCCTCGAATGCTCGCATCGAGTTTGCTCTTTGTTGATGATCCGACGTTTTTCTTCACTAGAACGGTATCTTTACCTCACGATTTGACGCTATGGAGAACTTTCAAAGCAAGTTCTAAAACTCTAAATGAGTTGAGAAGAACTTGCAGTGCAAGTTTGAAACTCTTAACGAGTTAGGGAACTCTGAGTGAGTTTAGAAGAACTTACAGAGCAAGTTTTGAACTCTGATCGAGTTGAGAAAAACTCTTAGAAAGAGTTCACAAGCCAAGCCGAGTAATCTTAAAGACTTCAATAAAAGCCTTCCAAGATGATCCACGAGTTCCTCCAAGTTGCTGATCTCCAAAGCTCCCAAAAAGAAGACTTGAAGAAGCCGATCTCTAGATCTCCAATCTTGATCTGCCCAAAAAAGATCATGAACTCTTCTTAGTTTTGAGGTATTTATAGGGGATTAAGGGGTGTAACCGCCCCCTTAATTCACTCCTAAGTGGGGTTGTAATCCCCTCAAATCGTGGGAAACGGTTTTGGAACCGTTCAGCTCGTGTTTGAACGAGTCAAACACCGAAAATGACGTTCTAGGCCCGAACTGTGCATTTTAGACTTGAAATGCAGAGTTGGGCCTGTTTTAAGCTAAAAATGCCGTGTTCGCACAGCGTTGTAAATCCAAAACACAGAGTTGGGACTCAGAGATGAACTCTGTGTTTTGAGTCAAAGAACTCTGCGTTTTCAAGTGGAACGCTGGGGGATGACCTCTGCGTTTTGAACTTGAACGCTGGGGATGACCTCTGCAAATTTGAACTTGAACACTGGGGATGACCTTTGTGTTTTGACTCTGGGACGCGGGTATGAGCTCTGCGTTTTGAATCTGGGACGCAGATGTGAGCTTTGCGTATGGATTTGAAAAGACCGTGAATTTGTAGTCTCTTTTGCTAGAGCGTTGTAAAGAACGTCATCTTATAATCTTCATCTTAGCTCTTTGAAAAATATGAGAGTCGTCAGATTGTAACCACTACAAGAAATCTGGTATTTAACGATCAAAATTAGTGAAGGGACTAGTTGACCGTCATTAATGTGCATGTAATAACGACGGGTTTTAAATCCTTCGTCGAGTGATTACAATTATTAGTAAAATGATGTGAGATGGGATAACGGTTTTCCAATCCCTTCGTTAATTTGATCATAATACCGTCGTTATTAGGTCTCCTTAAAGATGAAGGGATTCATTACCTTCATTGATGATATTCCTAATCATAATAGGACTTATAGATTAACCTATTACTATTAATCAAAATACCCAAAGCCCCAAACCCAAACCCGAAATAAATCCCCCGTAACTTCCCCTAATAATCCCTCTTAACTACAGCCGCAATAATCCCTCTAACCGCAGCCGCCATAATAATTAAACCCTAGATTTTATAAAAACCCCTACTGTTCATCGTCATCAATTAAACGCTCGTCTTCTTCGTAACTTCATCTTCCCGACCTTAACGTCGCCGACCCAACGTCGGCCGCCGCCCCAATTGTATAACTTTATGAGAATTAGATAGGGTTAGAGATCTATCATGTTAGGAGTTTGAATACTATTATAATTAGGAAGTTAGGCTAGAGATATGATTTTTGGTTTTCATATATATATTCTTCTATTGTTGGAGGAAAAACCAAGGAGAAGAGAGAGAGCCAATATTCTTGTAATCTAAGTTTAGCAGAGGGCGTAGTCTGATTCAAAAATATTGCGCGAGAGGCGAGGGTTTCGTAGTCTTTGTCTGTACAAAAGATTACATCATTGGGAGAGGGTTTTACAGTCTTTGTCTGTTCAAAAGATTGTAAGGAGAGAGCTTTGCAGAGAATATGAGAGTTGATTATGTATGTGAGGTTGAGAGATTGAGAGACGAGAGTTGAGTAGTTCCTCTCCTAGTTCTCCTGTTAGGGACTTGGGTAGTATGGGCTGCCTAAAGTCCCACATCGAGTAAAATGGGAAACTTGATGGGGTATTTAAGTAGCTTGGTTCTTCCCCCTTAACAGCTAGCTTTTAAGGGTGGGTTCCCCAAGTTGCTTGGATCCTCACAATTGGTATCAGAGCTGGTTGTCGGCGTCACGAAAAGGGCTACCTGTGAAGGGGCTGACCGGCGGAGGGGCTGACCGGAAAAGTCCGAGTAAAGCACCGCCGAGTGAAGCATCATAGAGTGCAGCCGCCGGGACGTCGGCTCTCAGGGGCGGTGCTATGTTAGGGACTAAAGTCCCACATCGGGTAGTATGGGCTGCTTGATGGGGTATTTAAGTGACTTGGTTCTTCCCCCTTAACAGCTAGCTTTTAAGGGTGGGTTCCCCAAGTTGCTTGGATCCTCACAATTGGTATCAGAGCATGATCGATCCTTCTCCGAGCTTGGTCGATCCCAACATCAATTGAGGGCAGCCATGAATGAGTTGTCTTCTCAGTTTCAGATTTTTGTTCAAGAATTCAAGAAATCCAAGAATCCAAGCCAAGAAATGAGCAAGAGATTCACAGATCAGGATTCGCAACCCAATCGAATCCTCGTCGTCACCATTCACACAATGATCTATCCTATAACGAAGGAAGTGTTGCATCAAGTGTTTTCTCCATATGGGTTTGTAGAGAAGATCGTCATTCTTCAGGAGACAGTTGACTTTCAAGCTCTTATACAATTTCAATCCCATCAAAATGCGGTGGACGCAATGAATTCTCTACAAGGGCGCAACATTTATGATGGTTGTTGTCGATTAGCCATACAAATTTCCAATTTCAGTGAAGAATTTCAGCCATCTCAGAGTTTCCTGTCCTTCAAACCCATGGGCTCTTATCCCCAACAGAGCAATTTGATCGCTGCTAAGAGTTTTTCTCAACAACCCAACTCTGTTAATTCCCTGTTCAATTCCAGTGGTGCAACTTTAATCAATGGTGAAGACCAAGGAGTGGATATACAAAATCAAATAAATGGCGAATTTCAGCCAGCTCACAATCTTGAAGTTGCTAAAAGTTCTTGGGAAAATAGAGATGCTTATGGTCCTTGGCATGGAAAGCATGTCAATTCCTCAGCAAGACCCGTCCACACCAGAGCAGATTCCTCAGCTTGGAGAGATGGATTTGCAACATCTTATAAGGTCAAGGCTGGGGATTCCTGCAACAATGGGTTGTCCAATCTCAGTCTTGACGACAAAGTGCCTTTAGTAGATGAAGATGTTGAGGTGAAGTGTCTGAAGAGGCTTGAAGCGTTTTGTTCTCGGAAACCCTATGGTGGTATTTCAGAAGATGGAAGCGGTTGTGTTTCGATCTTGAATTCAGATCTCTCTCCACGAATGAGGAGCAAGAATGTGTCTGTTGATGACCTTTCTCTTCCTCGAAGGAAACAGAATCGATTGCTTGAAGTAGATGTTGATCTCTCTCCACTAAGGAGAAGGAAGGGGGTGGGAGATGACCTTTCTCCTCCTCGAAGAAATAGAAATCAATCTCCTGATCCTGGTAATGATCTTTCTTCTCCAAGGAGCAGGCAGCGGTTGGTCGAGGTTTCGAGAAGAGGAGTACCTCCTTCCATTTACCTTTCACCCCCGAGAAGGCGGAAAAAACCAAAGCTCAAGAAACCACCATGGCCAATCTCAAGCAAGAGAAAGCAAAAGCTCAATTTGTCCGCTGTAGAAGAAAATTGTGCATGGTTTGTGGATGACAGGAGGCAGAAGCTTAAAACCTTGATTGGTGATAAGACAAAGTGGTCAAGTTTCCATGCATTCTGGCTTGGAATTGATCGGAATATCAGGTGGCACATGTCTAAGGATAAAGCAAATGCTATCTTGAAAGTAGTCATGAAACATTTCTTCATAGAGAAGGAGGTTGCATCTACATTGGTAATGGATTCTCTTTACATTGGTCTTAAAGTTCTTAAAACCCAGAGCAAGAGAAAGAAAACAGAGGTGACAAATGAATTTGGAACTAAACATTTGAACTTTATGGAGCCAATTGCATCTTCATCCAGGCCTGAAATTTCCTTGCAAATTTCTTCAGAAATACTTGATCGGCCCAATCTTGCTGTAGATTCACCATGTTGGAAACGAGCCTCCATGTCTCAAAAGTATTTATTTGGAAGTGAAGTGAAGGATTCAGGAAAAGGTTCTCAAGGGTTGAATAGAAATGGGAATCAATTAAGTCAGTTAACTACCATTTCATCACCTAAGCGTTCCTTGTTGGAGACTGAAGGAGCTAGTGTGGAGACAGTTGTTACTGATGCCACTCAAGATAAACCATTCAGCCCAAATCTTGATTCTAAAGATCATATCAAGAAGATCAAGATCGGAATCAACGGGTTTAGAAGGATTGGGCGTTTGGTTGCATGAGTCGCTCTTCAGCGAAGCGATGTGGAGCTGGTTGCTGTGAATGATCCGTTCATTTCTACTGATTACATGACCTACAGGTTTAAGTATGATAATGTCCATGGTGCGTGGAAGCAACACGAACTGAAGGTGAAGGATTCTAAGACCCTTCTCTTTGGTGAAGAAGAGGTTTCTGTTTTTGGCTGCAGGAACCCTGAGGAGATCCCTTGGGTTGAGATTGGAGCCGATTTTCAAGAGTCGCTCAGGTGCTTCAACTCTTCTCAGGATGATGACAGTCGAATCGAGTGCCTCGTGAGCACGATCATTTCAACTCTGTCTTCAATGACACACTGCAGTGTCTTTTCGCCTGGTGGAGGGGATTTAGAGTTTATTAGAGTTGGGAGTTTGGTTTCATTTCAAGATTGTGGGAATTTGATTCAGATTGGTGCTGAGGTGCTCGACAATTTGGAGCTCATGTTTCTAATGCTAGCTGTACCACCAACTGCTTGGCTTCCCTTGCTGAGGTTATCATTGACAGATTTGCATTTGACCTTGAGACAAGGTCCAAATTAAGGGGAGGGAATTGTTAGGAACTGATGCAAGTCGTGGAGCTGTTATTCAAGTTGGAATAGATGAATACAACAGTTGAAGACTTATGCTGGAAATGAGTGCACAGCTGAGAACAGATACACCTGAACATGGACTGATATGCAAGGAAAGTCAGAGGGAGGGGCTAATCTGCAAAGTCTTTAATACAAGGACTTATCTTGTAATAAATGCTTAGTAGTCAGTTACAGTAGTTAATTCTATTCATTCTGTTAGTCTTGTTTGTGTTGGCACGTGCACAAAGACTTGTAGCTGAATTGTATAAAGGAGAGGATGTAATAATCAATGATCATCATCATGAATGAATTTAGAATTGTTCTCTTCTTCTCAAACTCAATCTCAATTCCCAGTCTCTGTTCTTCTTTTCTCTAAACTTCTTCCTTTCAATCTCAATTCCAGATTCGACAGAGTTGTTTCAGGCTCATTATGGCCAGAAACAGCAACTCCAGATTCGACAGAGGATTCGGATCCTCACATGCTGGCCGTTGAAAAGGGAGATAAGTTGGACCTCATATTATTGTCAACAAAGAGCAGTTTAATCTTGTTTATTTTTTAATTGAGATGGGATTATATTTAACCCAAAAAAAAATGAATGATCCTAACATTTTGTGTCTTGAAATTATGGTTAAGTGCCAAAAGTAATCATTTAAAACAATATAGTCTCACTACAATTTGGACTTTCGAATTCCATAAATTGATAGTTAAATTAAAGTTTAACTTTTTGTTGGCCTTTTATGAAAACCTTGTTTTTTTAAAGGATAAAAATGGTGCCTAAAGTTTGACTCAAGGAATGATACTAAACTAATAGTTCTGTGTGTTTTACATTACTAATCATGTCTTTTTAATAGATTTGAGTGCAAAAAAAAGTAAGGAAATTAGTCTGAATATAAACATATATAGAAATTTTGTTTAATATATTATAATAAGAGTGTTTGTTTAATTCTTTTGATTTCTTTAGGAACTAAAATAATCTGTATTAAAAAGTTAAATTCAGATGACTAATTTTTGATAACCGTAGTTCTTGCGATGAATTGTATTTACTTTTTATTAGATGCTTTCGGATGTTTATCATTTTTAAATGCTTTTATATGTTGAATGACCCTATATATAAACATATGAGCCTTAAATAAAATTAAGCATTTCTTTGTGTTTAGTTTTTGACTAGATTGAATTATTTTTCAGGAAATTTTAGTACATTGCTTGAAATGGCACCGAATAAAGATTGGATGGACCTAGTAGATGATGATAGACTTGATCCAAAATATGAAGAAGGGGTTGATAAGTTTTTAGACTATGCATATGAGAAGTTGTTGGATAGTTTCAATCAAAAGAATGGTGACTTTAAAATTCGATGTCCATGTATTAAATACAGCAACATGAAGTCTGGTAATCGCGAGTCGGTAAAGACCCACTTGATTGTTCATGGAATTATTAAAAACTACAGATTTTGGTGTCATCACGACGAAACACAGGGTGAGTCCATATCGGAGGTTGATGAAGAACAAGATGAAATGGCAGAAGAAAGCCAGAGTTACGATGAAATGCAAGAAATGATTGGAGATTTATTTCATAATTCACCTAGCATTGTTGCAACTGATGCCTGCACGTCGAGTCAGAATATTCTTGAATAGGAACCAGATGGGCAGGCAAAACAATTCTACAGTCTTTTAGGTGACTCTGAGAAACCTTTGTATGAAAGCTCTAAATGTTCAAAGTTATCCGCCTTAGTAAAACTACTTCACATAAAGAGCCTAAATAGGTGGAGTAATAAATCATTCACAATGTTGCTCCCATTTTTGAATGAGGAGCTATTGCCAGGGGAATCAACACTGCCTAATTCGTATGACGAGGCCAAAAAGTTGATCCGAGACCTTGGCCTATCATATGAAAAAATTGATTCTTGTCCATTCTCTTGCATGTTGTTTTGGAAAAGTGAAGAAGGTCTCGATACGTGTCAGAGATGTGGTGCTTCTAGGTGGAAACTTGATAAACATGGAAGAGAGATCAAGCGCAAGGCAAATGGTAAAAAATACCACAAAAGACATTGCGATACTTTCCTCTTAAGCCGCGATTGCAAAGGCTTTACATGTTTTCGAAGACAGCTTCTGATATGAGATGGCACCATGAAAGACAAGTTGAGGGCGGAGTGATGAGGCATCCAGCTGACTCTGAGGCTTGGAAAAACTTTAATGAGCTACATGAAAGCTTTGCCGAAGAGCCTCGAAATGTTAGGCTTGGGATTACAAGCGATGGTTTCCAGCCTTTCACAAATTCAAAAGTTTCATATAGCATATGGCCTGTTTTACTTGTACCATATAACTTACCACCATGGATGTGCATGAAGCAATCCAATTTTATTTTATCTATGCTCATTCCTGGTCCAACTGGTCCTGGAGATGCTATTAACACCTACTTACAACCATTGATAGAAGAACTAAAGAAGTTGTGGGTCTCAGGCGTTCGAACGTATGATGTACCTCCGAGACATAATTTCATTTTACGTGCAACACTAATTTGGACTATTAATGATTTGTACCTCCGAGACATAATTTCATTTTACGTGCAACACTAATTTGGACTATTAATGATTTTCCTGCTTATGCAAATTTATCTAGATGGAGCACTAAGGGGAAATTAGCATGTCCTTGTTGTAATAAGCACACTCATTCTATCAGGTTATCTAATGGTGGAAAGCAAAGCTATATGGGACATCGTCGCTATCTTGATGAAAATCACAATTGGAGAAAGGATGTTCTATTTCGTTGTAAGTGGTGGGATGTGCACGGCAAAGGAAAAGAGACCACTTTGAAAGAAGACAAATATGGATTTATCAGTATTAACTGCCGGCACATGCTAAAGACGAATGACCACTTTATACTTGCTAGCCAAGCATCACAAGTTTTTTATATTGAGGATATTGCTAATGAAGGTTGGCATGTAGTTCTTAAAGCACAACCTCGTGATTCCTATGATATGCCACCAGATACAGATGATTGTGAGATAACAGACGATGGAGTTGAAGCTTATTTGCAAGATGAATCATTTGATGCTCAGGCTATTGCATCAACATCATTGGTAGATGATGATATCAATTTGAGAAGGAGCGATATTGATCAAATTATTGTAAATTCGGTCTCAACTTCAAAAAAGAGGAAAAAGGCATATGATAAATTTTAAGTTGTATCTTAATATAACTATTCTTTTTTTAGACATATGATGTTTCTTTTCTTCATATTTTGAATGCGGCTTTGACATTGTAGCAAGTGCTTCTACATTAGTGCACTATGTATTTATTATTATGTTTGTCCTTCATGATATTTTTTTTATTCATTTCTCTTTTGACATTTGTTTCATACATAGTGTGTAATACTTAGATTTCTTTTCATAGCAAGAAAATGAAAACTCAAGAAGTCGATTCCAAAAGCAAAAGGACATAATTTCTAGCGCCCAGGTCATTAATTACGAAGCGACTTCAAGCACTTGCAGAAAATTCATTAAGAAGGGAGTCATTAATTACGAAGCGACTTCAAGCACTTGCAGAAAATTCACTAGCGCCCAGGTCATTAATTACGAAGCGACTTCAAGCACTTGCAGAAAATTCATTAAGAAGGGAACAACTCCGTACTTGTCTTGACAAGAACTTGAATATTCAAAACCCAATACAAGATCAAAATATAGGTGCAAATTTTAATGCTGATTCAGAAAACTTTGAAGAGGAAAATTTTGTACAAAATCGTAAGAGAAGTACAAATGCTAATAATGAAGAGAATGATGATTCTGCAGGTTTATGAGAATTAAAATTTATTATTATTTATTTTTATCTTTCGATTTATTTTTTATGATTGGATTAATAATTGCTTAATTTTTGCAGAATCAAATAATCATCGAGTGCAAAGTGATGATGCAATACTAAATGAATCTCAACAAGAAGGTATATTCTTTATTAATTACAAGGAGGAATATTTTTATCAATTTTTTTAAACTATATCTTGATTCTAACATATGATATGACGTATGCAGCTGATAATTCTCAAAAGAAGAAAAATCCACCTCGTGGTAGTAATAAGTGTCTAAAGTTGAATAATTTGTCACATGGCGAGAAAAAGATTATTACTTTTTATCAGAATAGAGCTATTGAACCAGAATTTTCATGATATCTTGGAATTATTATTCGTAATAGAAATATTTGTCCAGTAGCTGTTGAGAATTGGGCCAAAATACCACAACAAAATAAAGATCATATGTGGGCATCCATTAAGGTACATTGAAAATTAATTAAATGCATTTGGTTTTTAATTCTTATAAATTAAATTTTGATTCAAATTTGATTTATGATAAATTTGATGCTGAGGACTGTATATTATTGGATTATTGAAATTATCTTTTAATCTTGATGTATAGAAAGCAAGCCAACAAAATATACTTAACAGAGGCAAAAGAAAGATGCTCCACCACACGGGCAGCAAACCCTTTAGACAAATTGCGTGGGAATTGATATAAATTCAAAACTAATTTTCTATTTATTTAAAACTACTTTGTTTTTAAGTTTGATTTTGTACTCATTTTTATTTAATATTTGAATAAGGGTGGCAAGTCAGGAAATCCACCTGATGTGGCAAAATTGTTTCATGAAACTCGAAAGAAAGCTAATGAAACACTAGATACTAGGGATCAAGAAAAATATGTAAGTAGAATATGTGTTTAAGTTTGATAATGATGCATTATATAGTACTAACATATGAATTTAATTTTTATAGGATGAAATTGTTCAAGTCAAACAAGCAAACCCTTCACTTTCTGACATTGAGATAGTTGAGAAAATCTGGGGAAATCAATCTCATGGTCACATCACTGTATTTGGTGGTGGGACTATTTTGAAAGATTTGAGAGGACCGCTCCCTAGTCGATCTGATCTTGACGCACGGATTATAGAAGAAAAGAGAAAGAACCAGATGCTTCAACAACGCTTAGACGAGTAGGAGCAACAACAACAAAGGATGTCTGAGTTAGAGGCACAAGTGAAAGCTATGCAAGAACTTTTTTTAGACAATCACCTTCATTGACTCCTCAAACTCGAGAACATGTGCAGGATTAGGTAATTATTTTTTGTAAAATCTCTTATATATTTTTATGACTACTTGCACTAAAAATGTGATTTTTACTTAATAAGATAATATTTTCTTAATTGATATTTCTTAATTATGTGTTTTTTTAATTTTTCAGGCTATCCATGCAAGATTAGGAGGGGGGTAACTCGAGTCTTCTTTT